ATAGTTAAAAATAACTTTATTTTATTTTGTAATAAAATTAATAAAACGAGTTGTATGAGCCTTAACTGGCGCTTATTTTTAATCTAATTAATAAATTAGTTTATATTAAAATTCGATGCTTGGAAGGTATATTTAATAACATAAAGAATGTTTTTACGTCATTTTTTAAAATTTATTGTCAGAAGTAAAAAGCGAAGTTTCGATGACTTGGTTCATCATCATCATCAAGTTCGCTCTAAATAATAAATGTTAACAGGACTTTAAAAACTATAGCAACACATAAATTATAAATAATAGTAAATAATTACCTAATTATTTATGTCAAATCAATTTTAATTTATTTATAATTTATGTGTTGCTTTAGTTTTAAAAGTGTTGTTAACATTTATTATTCAGAACGAGCCTGATGATGATGACGAACTAAGTCATCGAAATATCGCTTTTTATTTTTAACAATAAATTTTAAAGAGTGACATACAAAATATTCTTTGCTATTTATTATACCTTTCAAGGATCGAATTTTATAATATCAACCAATATATATTCGGAAGGAAATTTATACTTTTTCTTGAACTAATTAATAAATGTTCGTATTCTTTTTTAATTTACTAGTTAATTAATATATATTAAGTTATCTATGTTAAGTAATCTGTCAGGGAATTCTTTTAAGGGGATGTCAAAGACGATGCGATTTTCCCATTGAAGCTCAATGTAAAAATCCAATCAACTTTGACATCCCCTTAAGGATGTCATGGAAAAGTCAGGGAATTGATCTTTCTTAATTTATTAAACACCCTGTTTAAAGATATTGTGTCCATAAATGTAAGTAATAATATTGTTTACAATAAATATATAAAGAACTATTAAAATTTATCGCTAATTTGTTTTATACTTATCATTAGAAACAAAAATCAGATCACTTCTTTTAAAACCGAATTGTAATCTTTTAAGTAAAAAATAAATTAATTTAGTTTTTAAATTATGTGTAAATGTTTTTAGTTTTGGAAAATGTATAATTATTTTAATGAAAAAAATTTCCTTTAATTATACGAGTAACATGTATAATTATTGTTACCAGGATTTTACATTATCGTGAAGTAAGATGTCTCAAAAATTTAAAAATTATTTGGAACTCAGTTCGAGACAAAAAAAAGACGTTTAGATGCGATTATTGAAAATAGACAACAATTGCCATTACATGACGAAGATGATTATTCGGATACTAATCATGACGATAACAACGACGCTGATATTAATTACGATCTCGATGATGGGGTTAATCATCCTGCTGATGATAATGTTGATAACGCTGTTGATGATAATGTTGTTAATGCTATTGTTGATAATCATGATATCAACGTTAATCCCGATCCTGATGATGATGATGGTGGTGTCAGTAACGATAGCGATGACAATGAGACTGTCAGTTCTTACGAAGAAGACAATGAATATGACTTTGAGCCAGAAATACCAATTGCAGTAGCGAATGAAGATGATGATTTAAGTGCGTCAGATGACGAAAATCGGGACAATGCTGTTCAGGAAGATATAGTGGGTTTGCAAAGGAGGAGTTTAAAAAATGCTTTTTTGGCAGCTAACATAAATCACAATCAAGGAAATGTCTTATTAAAAACATTGCGTCAATTTCCTTTTAATATGTATTGGCTGCCTAAAGATTCCAGAACAGTCATGAACACTCCAACTATAGTTGCCAGCACTAGAGTTCAAAATTTAGCTGGTGGTCAGTATTTGCACATTGGTTTCAAGAAAACACTAGTCAAAAAATTGGAAAATATTCCCGTAAACTTATTGCCAGATACGATAGACATCGATTTCAGCACAGATGGTGCAAAAGTTGACAAAGGTGCGGATCAATTCTGGCCTCATCAGTATCGAATCCTAAATATTGATGATGATCGTCCCATTATAGCTGGCATATTCCAAGGAAATCATAAGCCTTCTAACCCATTCGAATTTTATGAAGCATTTGCTCAGGAACTTATGGATGTTCAAGAAAATGGAGTTCTCGTTAGAAACAAACTTTGTTTTTTGAATGTACGTCTCTTCATTGCTGACGCTGAGGCTAGAGCGTTTGTTTTGAATCATTACAAACATAATTCAACAAATCCCTGTTCTAAATGTAAGGTTAAAGGCCACAGATCTACGGTTCCAGGATTTGAAAGGACAATGGTTTTTCCTGGTGATGAACATCCACTTCGTACAGATGAGGAATACCAAAATTTAATAGACGAAGATCATCAAAAGGGTGGAAGTCCTCTAGCTGCTCTGTTACCACTAGTAAAACGTGTTCCCTTCGAAGTCTTACATTCTGTTTATTTAGGAAATACGAAAAAGATTTTGTGTGCTCAAGTAGGCGGACAATTTGGATTTCGGAGGTTGAATGTAAGAAAATTGCAAATTCTTGATGCTCGAATGAGCGAGCTTATTCTCTTTTGCCCTTCAGATTTTAACCGACGTCCACAAGTCTTAACAAAATATCATGCATTCAAAGGGACGGAATTCCGACAATTTCTACTATACACTTCACCTGCAGTTGTCAAAAATGTTTTCGATGAGGATTATTATACACACTTAATGATCCTCCATAGTTCCATGCGTCTTCTTAATTCATCAAACACGCTAAGGGACATGTATCCTTTTTGTAGAGAGGCGTTGAAATCTTACTTTACACTATGTGAAGTGTTATACGGGGAGCAGTTTCTTTCTTACAACGTCCACAGTGTGCTACATTTAGTAGACGATGTAGAAGAACTCGGTCCTGCGGATACTCATAGTGCATTTCGTTACGAAAATAATATGCAGGAATTACGTAAATTTATTCGAAAGCCGGGTCTGAAATTACCCCAAATATATAAACGAATATGTGAAAAAGAGGATTACACTTTAACTCCTATTGATCGAAATATAAGAATTGAACTATCACAACGGCATGAGGAAGGACCTTTGCCTGCAGATATTGATGCTAATATTTGTGAACAATTTAGAAAGATTGCAGTTGGCAAATGCACATTGTCTACGGCGCTGCGGGACAATTGTTGCATTTTAAAGAATTCCGAAATTTGTATAATAAATAATATAATACAAACAGAGGAACACATTTTTTTGATTGTTCAAAACTTTCGAATTGTCAACGAATTATATAATATTGGAATATCATCTACTTCGGTTGGAGTATACACTTGTCAGGATTTGGACTTAAGACTGAAAGCAATTCCAATTACATACGTTGAAAGAAAAATGTACAGGATGCCAAAATGGAGTGATGTTGAAGGTGAAGAAGAACACGCTATTCCGAACCATTGGATTTGCGCCTCTTTATTGTCACCTTTCACATTGCCTGAAAATATGTGAAATGAAACTGAAGCTGACTATTTGCAAGACGCACTTTGTATATACTCATGTAAGTGATGCATAAAAATTTATTACTTAAAAATATAAATCTGAAAAAAACGGTGTGAAATGTTTATGATTTTTAAAAGCATAAAAATGAAGAAACGTAGCTTTGAATTTTGTAGTACGTTTTTAAAATAATAATGTTTGTTATAAATGTAAGAAAATTCATCAACATCCATATACAAAAATGCTTTTACGTATCTGTACCTATTTAACTAATAAAAAATTTTTGTGGTAAATTGCTGTGGTAAATTGTAAAGTATATTTTCTCTTTTGGTTTGGTATGTTTTTGCGTTGCTTAAAATTTTTTTTTAATTTCCCTTCTATTGCTTCTTTATTCAATCATAAGGCTTTTTAAATAGGAATTAATTCGCTGTAAAAAGGTGTGTATTAAAATCAATTTAAATGATATAACAAAAAGGGCGAAAACGATATTGGTTTGAATAAAATGACTGTAAATTGATATTTGTAATCAGTTTAATCCATAAAAATTAAAATGCTAACAATGTTTATATTCGAGAAAGGATTCAAATGATTTCACTTTGCAAAATTTCTAGACAGCACTAAACTGGATTAAATTGATTTCACTTTAAATGTTAACAGGAATTCAACTAAATTTAAATTTGTTCAAATAGATTAGTGTGATTTGAATAAATTTATTGATGGACAAAAACCTCATTCGTTTAAATTAAAATGATTGCGAGAATTCAGCCATACTTCTAATCATTTTAATCTATTTCAATCCACACCTTTTTATCAGCTTCTTTTGGACTCGTTTTGTAGAGTTGATATAATTTTAGAAATACATGGTATTAAAAGTTTATTGTGCTGTTTGTATTTTATAATGCATTTCTAACTTACTTTTTTAAAAAATATTTTTGTGTATTTTCATATTATTTTGCACACTCATATTTTTGCTTTCAAAAGCTGCTAGGCACTTGTAAGCTAATTTTTCTTTATTTTTAAGTTTTATACATGATTTTGGGGAAAAAAGCATGAAAAATAACATTGGTTTTTTACAAAACTTAATCAAAATATAAATAAATTTTACTTATCATCTAATATCCTCCAATTTACATTACACTCGAATCTCGCTATAACGAGAAGTTCGGGAGTCAAGTCTCCTTCTATTACGAGCGCAAGAGAAGAAATGAAATATCCCCACTTTTAAGATTCTTCATTCATTTTTTTTTGTGTTTACAATTTACGTAATGTCAAAATTACAAACGTAACCTAGTTTAATTTGAACTTCAACATACAGAAAATTTACATAAGCTAAAATTTTTAAGATGTTCGACTCCTTGACATAATTTAAAAAAAGAAGTAACTTTTTATTTTAATAAATTTTATTTTAACCAAATTTAAATCAACAGAATGTGCATTTGTTTATAAATAGTGGGGGTAATCGAGAGGAAATTTTTCTCGCTATAGCGAAAGACAGAGTCCTCGTTTTAGAGAGCGCTCGTTTTGGAGAAGGTCGTTATAGCGAGATTTGAGTGTATAATGTTTAAAGGCATTTTAAGTTTTTTTAAGTACTATGTTCATTTTATTTTATTGTTCTAGAAGTTAAATAGTAAGAACGATTTTTAAGAATTAAGACAAAAAAAAAAAAAACATTACTCTTGAGCAAAAATCGAATGAAGTTTCACTTGGAGGTCAAACTTCGACTACGGAAATATTAGGTCCTATATCTGTTACTCAAACACAGATGCATTCTGAGAAAGAGGATATTATTTTAAAAACAACTTTTGAAGCAAAAGTGCATGCTGATACTAATAGCCAAACTTTAAAAGAGATTTCCAAGTGCGTATTCATTATTGAATATTGAAGTTTTAACATATTGATAAAACATGTATAATGTTTTATTAAAGTCCATTAAGAATATAAAAATATAATTATATTTATATAATATTAACATGTTATGAGGTAAATGTCCCAATTTATGGACAACTTAAATTTGTACTACACTTAATAGTGAAAAAATGCCTTTTATATTTCTTGTTATAAAAATTTTTACTTTTAATAAGAAGAAATATCAATTTTTAAAGTAAATATGACTTTAAATAAAGTTTTATTGGCAAAGTATAGTAAATTGTTGTATTTTTATGAAAAAAGGTTAATGTACCGATTTGAGAACCAATTTATATTTTTTATGTATAAGCCAAAATACGCCAAATAGCCAAATAAGCTTAATATGCAGCAGTTCTTGAAAAAGGTAAATTAATATCAAATCTAATAAACACTCACGTTAATTTATAAATATTTAGTTTTTTTGTTAAACTCTAAAACTAAATACCGTTTCATAACAAAAAATACTTTACTCGATAAAAAGTAACTACTTACTACACTATATTTTATTGATTTTCATTTAAATTTGCACATATGAGCAAATGTTCACAAATAGGGACATTTACCTTATTATTTAATACATTAAAATACATTTCACCTATTTTAATTTTCCATTGCAATTATTTTGTCAGTTTGTAATGATCAGATAATAAATTTAAAAATATAAAAGATGCATAGCGTATGGTTTGAAATATTAATATTTTGTTCAATATTTTTTTAGGAATGACGAGGCTACAAAGACACAAATACAAGTTCCCGTAGACAGTGTTCATGCAGGAGAAGCACTTTCAAAAAAACAAGCATCAATTGGGTTTGGAGAATCTGCAATCTATGTTGCCCAATCGAATCCGAGTTTGAATGTCGATTTAATGAAATTACAAGAAGAAAATTATATTGAAGCCTTTTATCGTATGCATACAGAGTTGATGGAAAGAATGGAGTAAGTAAAACATATTACTTTTAAAATTGTCCTATGATTACATGATATAAGAAATTTTTATACATTGAAAATTAAGACCTATTAATCTGAAAAAAATGCAATTCGATTTTAATAACATTTCTTGATTTTATTTGCGATTTGAATTGTTCACAAAATGTTAAATAACTGTTGCACAACATTTTTCAACTTTTATCAATCAGCTAAAATAAAAAATTTATTACTATTTTTCTAAATTAAAGTTAACATTCGTGATTATGTGAGAAATATCATTTGTTTAAATTTTCCGAAATGAAAAAATTTGGATTTATCAGGTCTTAAAAAATTACTCCTAATATATGTTTGTCAGAAAACAAATTTTCTTTTAAAATCTTGTTTATAAATCACTTGGTATCCTAATAATTTTCATATGATAATTTTTTAAAACGTTTCTGCATGTACAATGAACAAGATATTATTTTTTCGCATTTTATTAGTTTTCTGACGGCACAAAATCAGACAATCATACAACAACTGGTCTTGATATTTCAAAAATTAGACAAAACTAGCAATGAAGAAACAGAGAAATTGTCAGAAACATTCTCATCACCTCTCACAGGATTCCCATTAAAAGAACTTGAGGAATTTAATAAGTTCGAATCAGAAGATGGAAAGGAGACTCGCGCAAAACTTGTAAGGAACTTTTTTATATTTTATATTATTTAATAAAGTAACTATTTACTTGATTATATTTATTAATATTTTTCTTTCCAGTATAAACATTTACTTAACAATGGAGGGTTTTCTTTGAGAAGCTTTTTGTCATGTGCAATGCGTCAGACAATATCAGATAAGCTAGTTTGCAGTTTTACTTGGAATGGACAAGACGATACCATAAAATTTAGCGAGACAAAAGTTGCGAATGTTTTTTATCGTAAGCAAAACTAGTTAATTTTTAGCTACAAATAACTACAAGTGCTATAAAATCCATAACATTTATGCCATTTTTAATATTTCTGTCGTTGATTCTATTATATATTAATTATTTTTCCAGAATCTTCCAAACGGTGTATCAATTTTCAAGGTCCTTTAAATAAGGAAGAATTTAAAACTCATATGCTCGAAGTGCTGCGGCATACAAAACAGCGGTTTAGAAAAAATTTTTAAAAAAATCTTCCGTCCACAGCTGACGAAATATTGCGGCAAATTGAAAGATTAGAAGAAGAAGAAGCTGCAAATCATGAAGAAGAAGAATCAGCAGAAGGAGAAGAGGAGGACGAAGAATATGGAGGAGAAGGAGAAGATAATGAGAACTATGATGGTGGTGATGAGCGTGATCCATAAAACCAGTAAATCATTTCACTTTGAAACTTCGTTTTATAAGAATTTAAAGTAAATTATTCTATTTTCGTGAATTCATGTCTTCTATTTTTTAATAAATAAAAATTTTAATTAAAATAAAAATTATGTAATTTACTATATGCGATTATAAACCTCACAGTAGTGACGATTTCATATCTCAAGGTTTCTCATCCATGAAAATGCAGACCTTCAGAAAAAATAATTACTTAACATTTAAATAATTGTAATAATACTATGAATTGTATTATTTTACAGAAGAAATATCAATTTTTATGAAAAAAAATTATTCTTTTATACAATTTGCATGAAATCAAAGTTTTCTATCATATCGCTTCTACAGAAATATTTAAAAATGATTTGATTTTATTCTAATGTTTTACTTTCTTTTGAAAATGTTTCTCTGCGATTTGACAGTGGATATTTTTAAACAATCAAGCTATTGGAAAATTTGGCTATTTTCTTAAAAATTGATATATATATATATATATTTGAGAAAATACAATCATTAATAATATTTAAATTATTTTAATGTTAAATAATTAGTTTCTTTTGCGGGTTTGCATTCCTTAAACAATGCTGAAATATTTCAAATACTGATAGAATCATGCTTCATTACTTGATATGTTTGCAGCAACTTCTTAGTGGCTGTTCAGTAGAATCTGTCAGAATGTAACTCAATTTTAAAAATTTTTTCATATAAAAAAATTTTTTAACAAGAATTATTATCACTTAGTTTTATAATGTTGTAAAAATATTATAAAATCCAAACTTTAATAATTTGTATTAAAAAAATTTTCATACGAAAAAGTTTTTAAAATTGAGTTACATTCTGACAGATTCTATTAAAAGTCACATAATGCGAACATTATGCGTTACATATGAAGGTACAGTGCGAATTAATTAGCTTGTCAGCAGGTGATATTACTAGCATAAAACGCGCATTTATATTTAAATTCTAAAGCTCATTATTCGCATTATACCGTCACGCATGTGCCCATCACAATATGCGACAGTTATGGATCGCATATGATGACGCATCTGAGTGGTCCAGTGAACGCACATTGTGCAGATAAATCGGCAGCGCATGATTGACTTCTACATTACTCTATTTAAAGCAATGGAAGGAGAAAACATTTTAAATGTGACTAATCCTCTGCAAGTCGAATGTTTGAGGTACTGCTTTGGAGATCTTATTAAAGAAGAAATTCAAATCACAGTTAAAGAATGGAATCAACACCTGGTAAGAAAGTAAAAGAACAGAAATGTTGCAGGTGGCATTCCAAATCTACTGTACAAATGTCCAGAAAAGTTTGCTTTCGAAGATTACAAAAAGGATGTGGATTCAGATTATGTGCTGCGTTTGCAAGAACATTTCACTACGGAACCGCGTTTAGTATCATTAGAGTTTGAGAAATTAGCAGATGAGTTATTAAAAAATCAACGTAGACCAACAACAGTTGATGAGGCTTATATTTTATATTTGAATCTTAATAAAACAATTCAAATGTTGGAAGCTTCAAATGATGATTGACTTCAACGTTTCCAAATTTATTTTTAATTTCATATTAAAGGTATTTTTATTTCATTTGACAAATTTTAAGTTCTGATTGCAACTAATTTAACTCCCTGAAAAGGAAATCTGTGAATTTCGAAACTTTGGGTTAATATTAAATAATTATTGTTTGAATGTCTTCGTTTTTGTCTTCTTGAAACCACTCGGACGCTAAAGACAATTATAATCAGGGTGTCCAGCGGTCAGGGAAGTCTGGGAAGAAGTCAGGGAATTTTTTTCTCAATCCTTGCTGAACACCCTAATAATGTAAATTAAAAATGGGGTATTTATATATCAAATAGCAATTTCGATTTTGAAATGTGCCTTTAAAAAAGGTTAATAAATAATTGTTGTTACTATAAAAACAAATGTATTGTATAGATGTACACAAAAAAATTCATTCAACTCAAATATAATTTATTTCACTTAAATAAAAGCACTACATTTTCCTCAAAACGTATTAAATTATGTGTTTTGAATACAAATTTTATTAGACACAAATAAACCTTTTACTTTAGAACCAAATTAAATTTATTTAAAACAAATAAAAAGTGTTTGTATTTTAAGAGATTTAATTGTTCTTTTGCACTATTTTCACGAGGCTATAAAGGTTGCATATATTTTCCAGCCCGCAGTTTATTTATTGTAGATAAAAGGAATTAAATAATTTCAGCTTTCATTAGATGTATATAATACTCCGATATCCTCACCAATAAAATTTGATATCGAAATTTTAAGTTTTTCTTTAGCCTCATTAGTGAAGAAATAAAATTGTAAGTTTTTCTTACTAAATAACAATAATAATTGTAAGTTTTGTACCATTAAAATATTAATAAATAGTCGTAAGTATTTTAAATAAACATTGTTTATTGTCGTGAAATGATGAGAACAATTAAATGTAACTTTGAAATGTTGCTTTTACGAAGATCGTAATGCTTAAAAACATTCAATAATATAATGCGATAAATGTACGTAACATACAAAAAAACCAGAACACTTGCAATGTTTTCAATCGCTATAAGTTTTTCTTTTAATGCTAGTGTTCACAATTGTACATTTTTAGAAAATAAAAAACCATTTCAGTAATGTTTGATGTTTTCACAAACCTCTTTTTAGTAATACTTTATTGTATCGAATACTAGTAACTTTCAAATTACAAAATGTAATTATATGAAAACATCAATTGTGAAGAAAAAAATCTTAATCTCTATTTTAAATCTTTTGTTTTAAACTATTTAAAACTTTAAATTAACAAAAACATTAAACACTCGCATACTTTCTATATAAACATTTAATGTCAATTTGTATTACTTAAGACAATAATGACTTGCACATATGTAACTTGACTGAAGCCTTATATTTAATCAGTCTTTCTGTCTTAACTTTCGTTCGTATTTTCATAAAACTCTTTAACGTAATTATTTGAAAACATTAATTGTGAAAAAAAATCTTAATCTCTATTTCAAATCTTTGTTTTAAACTATTTAAAACTTTAAATGAACGAAAACGTTAAACACTCACAAACTTTCTATAAACATTTAATGTCAATTTGTATTACTTAAGACACTAATGACTTGCACATATGTAACACATGCACATATGCCTTATATTTAATCAGTCTTCACTTTTTTGATCGATTATTATTAATAATATAAAAAGTTTTTAAGACATAAAACTCTTTAACTTATTTCTTTTCTAATAAGCTTAGAAAATTTCTTATCGTTGGACGATTTGACTTATTATAACTGAAACATTGACGAATAAGTACTCGCATATCTTGCGGCATACATTCAACCCTTGGTGTTTCCTTATCATTCAATATTTTTATCATTCCACTCACATTATGAACATTCCATACTTTCTGTTCACTAAAAAGTTCAATGAAGGTGCACGCAAGCGACCAAATGTCTGAACTTTCGTTCGCATTTTCATTGTCCAACAAAATTTCTGGAGCCATGTAAGGCAATGTGCCACGCCAACGACCAGGATACGTCGAATCTAAACTATCACAAAAACTGTTACTTTTCCCTAGTCCTAAATCACAAAGTTTGGTTAAGGAATGTTCATTGATCTAGATGTTTGCAGGTTTAATGTCACGATGAATTATTGGTTGGGGTTGTAGATGAAGGTAAGCAACTGCGTAACTTAATTGCAATTCAATTTTACGTTTCATTGTTAAATCCATTATAAAATTAATTCCCTTATCCTTATTAAATATGATGTCCTGGAGAGAATGCGATTTAAAAAATTCCATTATGATATGGCACTTAGTATCAGTACTACACACAGCCATAACAGAAATAATATTAGGATGTCTGATTTTGTCCAATAATGCAATTTCTCTTAATAAATATTTTACTTTTTCCTTAATAATTGGTATTGACTTAATGGCAACATCAGACCCCAAATATTTTCCCTTGACAACAATTCCTTGAGCACCTTGACCCAAAATAACATTCGAGAAAGAGAAGTCTTGCTCTTTAATGACATTGACTGATATATCTAACTTATTTAGTTTTTGATGAACTATTTTGTTTACTAACGGCGTCTTAAATTTGAAACTATTTTCATTATTCGTTACTTTAGATTTTTCGCAAGTCAACATCGAATAACCCGGACTTTCTACGTTCGTGCTTTGAGAGTTAATGGTTATAAAACTTAAATTTTTTACATTTGCAGGTGATTTCAAAGAATTTACAGCATTGATTGGCGTGAAACGAGGATTCGGCGTGAGGCTACTTTCAACTTTCGACATTTGGGTACTATTTACATTTTCATTTCTCGATTTTTCAGTAACAAAACTTTTTTTTCGTGGTTCAAGTACATTGTGACTGAATTTTGGAAACGAATTGTTAGATTCATGAGCGGTTCGAGAGTTAATGCTTACATTAAAATTTTTTGCATTTGCAGGTGGTTTCGAAGAATTTACAGTTTCGATTGGCGTGAAACGAGGATTAGTTTGTACATTTAAGATTTGGTGATTATCGAACCCTAAATTGTTCGAGTTTCCGACAGCTAACGTATCATCTATCGTTTTTTGCACAATGTTGCTACCGTAAACAACTGATTGTGATGACAAAAGATTATCATTTGCTTCTAAATTTGCTCGTTTCTTGTGTGGAGGTCCATATTCGGCAGAATGTCTCCAGGAGCCAATCGCAGAAATTTCTAAATTTGTTTCATCAACAAAACTATAACTATTACTTCGCATCGTTTGTCCATTAACCTTTTCCTCTTTTGCAATTAAGGTTGTATACAAAACAATGTTCAACGGATGTCCGTCTTTTCTAAATTTTCTACAAAATACCCAGAAAGGACAATTAATACCGTCGATGTCTTTAAATTCCGTGACCATAGTCCCATCTTGCATTCCCAAATCCACGCAACAATTTTCAAAATGTAACCTATTTTGGTCATTAATATATTCCTGTAGTATTATAGTCTTCAACTGGTCAATGGAGTAATCTTGATTACCATTTAGTTTTATCTTCAGACTTTTCCCAATT